GGTGCGCAACGGAAAACGAAAAGCAAGAAGGCACCTACCAAGGCCAGCAAACCCAAGGCTGTGGCAATGAAAGAAGAGTTGATTCGCCGAGCACATGCGGCTGCCGAAAGATTTGTTGATGCTAGCGTAGCATGTTCACCGGCTGATGAGGAGTGGATGCCGCTCAGTTTGTAACGCGACGTTGGCGCAGCATTTTTGATTGGTGTGGTGACTCGCTACAGCCTGGCAAGCGAAAAAAATGCTGACAATGTTAGCGTTCCTCACGACAAATTTCAGGTTCAATGGACGTGTACTGCTTTTCAAATAAAAGATCACGTTCACCACGTTTCCGAAGCCATCATCACCCGTGGTATCCGCCAGTTTGCCAACATGGAAAAAAGACAAACTTCAATTTGGAGAGTCTTGGACGTCCCTGTGCAACATGGTCCCCAAACTATCAAACATTCCTGCACTGACAGATGAATTTGAGGAGATGGACGAGCGTGGTTATCGTGAGTGGTTTGCGTTTCGCGGGCGGAAAGAATTGCAGCGCCCTTTGTGCTCTGGTGAAGTCGAAGAGATAGCATCAATGACATTTTCACCCACAGCATCGCTTGGCCAACCGTCAGGGCTATTTACACATCCGGATGGGATCCTCTGGTACATGACTCTGTTCGACAAGGGTGAGATGAGAAATTACTGGGTGGACGACGAGGAAGCAACTATTTTTTCCTGGAGCGCGTACTACTAGTTTGAAGTCAATTATGACATGGCGAAGATTCCTGTACATCCGTAAGAATTTGAGTTTTCGTTCCAAGGTGTCTACCTCCGACATCAAGCGCGGTCCTGTAGCTAGAATACGACCACTCATGAGCATTCTGAAATCGCGGTGCCTGCGCCATGTCGAAGTCGGTCGAAACGTGGCTGTTGATGAGGCCACAATTGCCTGCCGATCCCAGTACGCCCGCCACATTATAGTCTTCAACCCACAAAAACCCACCGGAAAGTATCATTTCAAGTTATACGTGTGTTGCTGTTCTACCTCGTGGTACGCGGTGAGTTTCAAGTTGCACTGCTCCAGTGAACTTGATGATCGGCTGGACGGTGTAATTCCACGCTCAGAAGTGCAGAAATTCGCTGATCTAACCGCGAAGTCGTCTGAAATCCGCTCTCACGTCATGGCGGTTACTTCATCTTTGAAAGGATCCAGTCGCATTGTAAACACAGACAACTTCTACACTTCCTGTTTGCTGTTGAAGACTTTACGATCGATTGGTCTCTATGGTCGTGGCACTGTACGCACATCTAGCAAGCATTTCCCTCATTTTACGATGATTCGTAAGGAGGACGCGAAGCCGCGAGGCTACATGAAGCAAGGTGTATGCTTAGAGAAGCATATTGTCGCAGCTAGTTGGGTGGATGGCTCAATTGTCAATGTCGTGTCTAATGCCGATGCTTCGACCACATCAACTGTGCATCGTCGTATAAATGAATCGGGTGTGGCTTTCACTGCTCCTACTTGCGTCGACGAGTATAATTCAGCGATGCAAGGTGTTGATCGGCTCGACCAACTGCGTGCACGATTTTCTCTAGCCGATGGCCACTCATTTCAGAAGTGGCATAAAAAACTAGCGATGGTCATGCTTGATATAGCCAGGTGCAATGCCTACATTTGCGATAGTTTGGCGCGTGGTGAGAGCGAGGAGTCTCGTTCGACGGGAGGTACAGCCCAAACGAGGTCAAGAGCCCGCGATAGTCATCGCGCATTTGTGGCATCACTGGTTCGAGAACTGTTCAATGGGGACTGGAAGAAATCTCTGGATAGGGAACATGGAATGGTGTATGCTGCGAAGCCGACAACGACAACAATGCCGATGACGACCCAAACCGCGGCGTCGACAGATGTATCCGAGTCTTCGGGCGATCACGCACAAACGTGTGTTGCAAGAGCGTCCTCGGAGGTGCTTCAGGGAAGGAGTCGCTCAATGCGGAAATGCACTGTGTGCAAGTTCGAGGGCAGAGATCCTACCGAGAAAACCGACTACTGCGAGACCCATCGAGTTGCGTTGTGCAAGCGCACATACCCTGTTGGCCCTACGAAGCAGCATCTGTGCCAACAGCAAACTTGGACTTGCTGGCAGAAATACCATTTGTTTTACTTGCCGAAGCAAGTGTACACTGTCGACGGCAACTTGCGACGAACCTCTCCAATTTATGTAGCTAACCGTCCATTTCTGAAGGCCCGCCAAGACCAAAAGGAGGCTAACGCAGCCACCAAGGCGTAACCTCACATCATTTTTTCAAGATAGTCAAAGTCAACTAACCATTTATACTTCACTGCACTAAGTCACACCTATTCCA